AACGCTATTAGAGAGCGAAAGAGAGCTGTTTTGATACCCGTTGATTATTGTAGATACAAGTTTCTTGCATTCCCTCTTGTTTTCATTTTTGACCTGATGGCAACCAGAAAATTCATTGTGCTATTCTTGAATGAACTTCTCCTAATGTTAATGCTAGCCCTACTTTGACATGGGAAGGGAATGGAACCTCTATTTTATTAGTTGTAGTCTTCGCTATCACTTGTCCCTTGGTTCGACTCTCAGTGCAGCCGCTTCACGTGATCACGTGTTCCACCCGCGGTTTCTCAATTTCCATTCTCAGCCTCGACTGTATTGATATATCTGCGAAGGGCGACAGGAGCACCTCACCAGGCGCCAATATCCTAAAACTCCAGATTGTCCCATGCTAAACTCCATTAACTGGTAGGGATAGCTTCAGTTTCTTGTCCATACCCATTAAATCCAACGAAAAACGCGAAAATATCTCGAATACACATTCGACAAAGCAATGTTCCAAAATATCCCACTGTCAATCAGCCGTAAACGAGTATTTGATTCCGTCTTTCCTCCGGCTCCATTAAGCAACATATCTCCGACCCCAGTATCAAGTCCCGTCCAGGGTTTTACACGACCTGGGGAAACTTTCGACATCGGGTATAAGCAAGGCGCTCGCCGATCTTCAGAACCAGAATACGTGCCAGAACAGGTTACTTGGGATCGAGCATGGCATACTGCAACTTCATTTCTGTCAATTCCTGATGAGGGCTTCAGAAACAATGGAGCTGGAGATGATGACGAGACACGAGATGAGGAGACATTGTTAAGACGGTGGGCAAAAGGACCTCCGTCCCAACTGGTGTCCGACAGTCTGTTTTACGTCGGGGCGGATTCTTCCCCCGGCAGAGCTTTACGACAGGCCTCAGAGGAGGAAGACGTGAAGGAATGGTATCTGACTGAGATGCGAAGGCACTTCCTAACAAATTTCCGGGATTTTCTCGTTGCGGTTCGTCTCCTAGTCTCGATAACTCTTGTTACATTTCGCACGCCATATTTGTTTTGACTAACGTCTGGGTCCTTGGTGAAAATTTTAGGGATTAAAAGTTAGAAATCAGCCTGATACCTTATTAAAACTGGTCCGGTACCTAAGATTAATAAAAACCGTTTACTTCACCCCTTTTCTCCTATATTTATCCCCACTGATAAATCCTGCAAACCAAGAGCAAAATTTCTCTCGTCTACAAAGGAACTTCCATACTATCGTCACATTTGCGCTCCCTCCCGGCGACATTTCATATCTACTCTCTGAGGAGCTTGCTACACAGAGCTTATTTATACTAGGGGTCCATAACGAAGAAGACGAAGTATTTAGCCTTGAAGATGACAATACGGCCGGGGATGGAATGGAAATCGACCAAATATTCACCACTTCGTATGCGCATTGGAAAAACGAACCATCACCTGAACGAAGACTGCAGATGATTAGTGGCGAAACGGAGGAAGTTACGCGGACCAGGAGTCAGTTGTTGCATCTATTGGAGGGACTTCAGGAGGTTGGGCTTGGGGCTAGTAATGGCCAAAAGATATTTGCGGGTGTGATGAACAATATGTTAACTGAATTCGTTACATCTGCCTATGCGGGTCAATGGGAATCGCCATCTCTTGTCAAAGAACATTTGCGACAGTGGATCGAGAATGTGTTTGCGCGGTTGGTAGTTCAGATTTTACACATCTTCAAAACTAACGACGTTGAAGGCGGCGTTCTTGAGGAACGACTGGATGTCACGCTAGGAGATGTCGAGAGGTGGCAAGAAATGGGGATTGCACGACTAGGCGCCCTTCGGATCAGTGAGCTCTTCGATGTCATTATCGAGTGGGATTCGAGCAGCGGCGCGATCGAAGACCTGAAACACTACACGACTAATCCTGCTACGCGATTATATCTGGTCAGCTCCTTTGTTTCTATGCTGGTGCAGAGACTTCTTCACCCTGGCGCCTCAACTGTTCAAATATTACAAATTTATATCTCAATCATCCGCGCCTTTACCCAGCTAGATCCACCAGGAGTCCTTCTGAATCACGTTGCTCGACCCATTCGAAGATATCTACGAGATCGTGATGATACTGTGAAGGTCATCGTGGGAGGGCTGCTAGCTGACACTGTGGACGCTGATGGACAGCCTATCACCTCAAGTGCAGATACTCTCGTTGAATTGGCGATGGAGTTGTCAAAGGCGCATGAACTTTTGCTTCAGGATGACTCTGGCGAGCTAGACTGGGATGACATGAATTGGATGCCAGATCCGATTGACGTTGCTACAGATTACAAAAAGTCCAAAAGCTCCGACGTCATTGGCAGTTTAATAAGCCTCTTTGATACGAAGGAAGCCTTTGTGAGGGAGTTGCAGAAAGTCCTTGGTGAGCGGTTACTCAAAAAGAGCGACAATTATGATCTGGAGGTGTCCTTGCTGGAATTACTGAAGCTTCGATTTGGCGATTCAGCCCTCCAGGCTTGTCAGGTTATGCTCCGCGATGTTCAAAGCTCGGAACGTGTCGATTCATCCATCCGCTCAGACCAGAAACTTGAAAATACAGAGAAATCTAACATGCCCGAGTTACACGCTAAGATCTTATCCCGTCTTTTCTGGCCCACGTTGCAAAACCCTCAATTCACAGTTCCTCCAGAAATTGCCTCGCTGCAACAAAAATACTCCGCCGGCTTCGAGTCATTGAAGCAATCGCGCAAACTCACCTGGCTCAACGGTTTGGGCCAAGTCACCGTGGAACTAGACCTGGAAGATCGCGTGTTCACGGCCGAAGTCACAACCTGGCAAGCTGCCGTAATATACGCATTCCAAACACCACCTACGTCTCCTTCCCAGCCCGGCCCCGTAACCAAAACCATCTCCGAACTCTCTCATCAACTCGAAATGTCCCCCTCCCTCGCCCGCAGCGCGTGTCTCTTCTGGCTCAGCAAGCGTATACTCGTAGAGCCGCAACCTAACACCTTCCGAGTCCTAGAAACGATACCAGACGAAGACGACGGTAATGGCCCAACACGCACAAGCGGTGAGGCTACCACCGCCGATCCATCGTCAACGGGGCCACGCGCACCCGGCCCATCCGGCCCATCATCAACGAACTTTTCCTCCACGAACGCCGTCGCAGCCGCAGAAGCGGCAGAAGCAGCGGCGAGCAAAGAATCTGCAGACGCTGCCGCGATGGCGAAGATGGATCTGTACTGGCAATTCATTGTGGGCATGTTGACCAACCAGGGCGCGATGCCGTTGCAACGGATCATCATGATGCTGAAGATCGTAGTACCCGGCGGGTTCCCGTTTAGCAGTGAGGAGCTGAGGGGATTTTTGAGCCAGATGGTGGCGAAGGGGAAGTTGGAGGTTGTGAGTGGGGGAAGCTATAAGATTGTGGCGTAAGCTGTGTGCATGGTCTTTTGCCATTGTTTATATCTTTTACTCTTACAATTATGGGCGGGGGCGTTCCTGGCGGGCCTGCATTCGAGCACCTTGTTTCTTGTGCTAGGTCATAAGCGCTGGTTGATAATTTGTGTCCTTGTATTACATTGGGTGGTATTACCATTCTAGCTGTTGATATGTTGATTTTGTTGGCCACCTTCATTTACAGACTACGAAATACGTTTTACAATCGAAAACATGATACCCCTTCTTTAATTCCCTATTTCGTCTATATAATTTCTTACTCCTCGCATATATATTCCGCCTGGCATGGTATATGCAGTGTCAGTGTATACTCGCAAAATGTTTACATAAGCACTGAACATAACTAGGATTTCCACCAACAGTGATATAAAACTTCTTAAATCATGTCCGGCATCATAAAACAAACAAAAGAAGTAAAAATTGTTCGCCCGCTATGTTTTAGGAGTCGTAAATGGTAGATGAAAAACGATGAAGAACAAAACCAGCAAGCGCCAGCGCAGTAGCCGCAATTTCTACTCCATCCCCCACCCCCGAACCCTCCTAAATACGAAAGCCCGATCATTCCGCAACCCAAACTCGGCCCAATCGTCCGTGAGTCGATTATAGCTCCAAAATCCCTTCCACATGAGCTTCGTGTTTTTTGACGGGTTTGACGTTGGCGGTGATGACGTGACGTGCTCCCCCACATGCCGGCCGCCGCTGGTCGATCGGAGCGCTAGGTGCATTGTATACGTATATTTTGGGTCTACACCTTCAGTTTCTACAAACAGATCACGGGGATCCGGTAGGTCATTATTGCCACTGGTAGCGGAGGACGCGGTAGCTGCTAGTCGGAATTTGCTTGGTGGTGGCTTTGGATTGGCTAGGAGTGCTGAAGATATAGGCGGAGCGCTGGCCGATCCTTCTGGCTCATTGGATACTGCGGGAGGTGGTGGTGGCGGGTAAGGGTTGTTAAGGTGCCATCGACCGCGAAGACTATGTTTCAGTGCGGCAGCGGCAACTGGAGGAATTGGGTTTGCAACAGGAGCCGCCGTTTGAGTAGTATCTGAGGTATCTGAGGTGTGATGCTGGCGTCGACGGTGGGCGGGCGTCCCAACATGCAGGATCTCGAGGTTTTCTTTACTGATATGGGGAACAACGTCGACGGGCTCGGTAGTCGACAGCAGCGATATTACGGTACCGTCCGGGTAGAAACGCAGATAACGATAATATGTCACGATATGGATTGGAGTGTTCCAGGAGATATTCTGCAGAGAGGAATTCGCACCAGGACGATTGTAGTTGACAGTACTGATATATATTCCTGTAAATCTGATCCTGGGGAAGGCCTGGAATACTTGACTCCAGGATATAAGGGGTTTTGGGATCTGTAGATTATGAGTCTGTCCGAAGGGGAAAAGAGTGAATTTTGGCAAAAATGAGTTTATCCGATGCCAATTCACGTCACAAGCGAAGTCATAGTGCATGGCCCCAAAACCGAATTCAGGCCCCTGACATAACCTCCTCCATATATGTTTCTCATGAGCAAAATGATATGCCAGTCGTTTACAAACAAGGGATAGACGTCCGAAAGTAGCGGGATCCAAAAGGGCAACATGGCAGAGAATTTCCACAAGTACTTCGGATGGGACTTTGGAGATTGGGCAGGGCGGGGGTGGTGTGCCTTCAATGATTCGGTCAACACCGAGAATAGGACTTGAGGCGAATGAGGCAATTAGCTCCGCTGTAGACAGAACGGGTCCTTCCTGTGAATGATTGGTAGTATTTGGGACAGTAACTGGAGCTGCTGAAGGGTTGATGCCCGGCAATTTCAAGGCTGGCGGAAAGTGCTTCTTCCGGTATTCTTGATCGACCTTGGAATCAAGCTATACATACATAGCAAGAGGGTTAGCTTTTTCAGCAATAAACAAGAAACGCCCAATCAATGGGATGTGGTGGTTACCCTATAAGCTTTCCGGTACAAGTCTAAGCTGGAGCCCAGGTTCCCCTGAGCTTCCTTCCGCGCCGCAGCCTCGAAGTGTTCGAGGGCGGAGGTTGGCGGTTTCTCTGGATGGCGGTGGAAAGCGTCATCATCGCGAGAAGTGACATGGAGAGTCCGTGTCTGATCTACCAGTTCTTCATGCTTGTGCGGCGCAGACACTCCCCCTGCTACCATCATCACTTCTTCTTCATCTACCTGGTCCGCCGCCGGATGTCGCGAAGGGAGTTTATGGGTCGACAAAGCATTAGGAAGCAGATTTGGAGTCTGTCGAGGTTTGGACTGCGAAGTAGCAGTACCCCTAGTCCTGGCAGATACTTCCTCGCGCCATTGACGCCTGAAGGACTCGAGTTCATCGGTATTTGGTTCCATTGTAGTAGCGGGTTGTCTATTATATTTGCCAAACAGAGGCTTGTTTAACGGGGGATGATCAACTGCGGGAGACGAGCCATGCTATCCTCCATATAAACACGTCAAATAACGTGCAACTCCATATCCATCAATACTATTATGCACTCTCAGCCGGCACACTGCAGATGGTGTTTGTTCGATCTGGTAGTGTATGTACTCTGTATATCTACGTCGCCATCCATTCCTCATCAACAGTTTCGAGAGAACGATGACTAATTCAGCTCCAGCGGAGATATACACGCTAGACTAGATCTGGCTTAGCATATCTCAGCTGCTTACCTCATCGAACTCCACGCGCCCCTTTCGGCAAATATCGGCCGGGACTGGATTTAGATTTCTCCGGGCAGCCTCAATTTTGCCCGATTCGGCGATCCGCTTAGTGATCGGTATGGCGGCATTGCAACTTTTTTTTTAATGTTTGCCATTCCGGGAACTTCGAACCTCCATTATCTCCTCGTTGTCCACGTCCTGTTGTGCCTTTGGATACTCCGGCTGTGGATATGTCTGGGACGGAGTGAAGTATCTCGACCCGGACTTTTTGACGCAAGAGAGCTCTTTTTATCAATCCGGCAAATCGGATGAATGTCTACTTATGCGGGTGTCCCAGCGCGGGCATATTCCCAAGCGGCATACACCAGAGATCAAAACCTCGGCGATTTTGGCGACAAGAAGGCGTCACTACACAATGAGAGAACAGTACCGATGGCTGCAAGTAACGCAAGCGGAAACTCGGGGGGCCATGCCGACAATGTTTCCGCAACTCAGAAGATGATGTCAGCTACATGGGGAAGTTTGCTAACCTCCCTACTCGGTAAGATATCCTGATAGACGTCCTGATGAGCCAGTGAGCATTTAATGCTAACATAATCTCCAGTGACTCCTCTCGATGTTGTTCGTGTTCGCCTTCAATCCCAAACTCCCGTCCTCCGGGCATCACCGGAAATTCTACCACCCCCTCTTTTCGGGGGACTTCCTCCAAACCTGGGCGTGACTGCCTGCTGCCGGGAAGTTTTTTGGGTTGGAAACAATGCCCAATTCTGCATGGTGGGACCAAACGGGACCGCGCTCAGTAGCCCACCGGCAAGCGGGGGCGCTGCCTGTGCGGTGGAGGAAACTCAGCGACGGACATTCACCTCCACTCTTGATGGACTCCGCAAAATTGCCAGGAATGAAGGCCTTCTATCACTCTGGAGAGGTCTCAGCCCGACCCTAGTGATGGCCATCCCAGCAAACGTTATCTATTTTACCGGCTACGACTGGCTACGCTACGACAAGAAGAGCCCCATCAATAGAGCCTTCAATGACACGTACGCACCGCTAGTCGCGGGTGGCATAGCCAGGATAGCCGCTGCGTCGGTAATAAGCCCGATTGAGATGTTTCGGACACGACTGCAAGCTACTTCGGGCACGGGGACAGACCACTTCAAAGCCACGCTCCGCCAGCTACATCAAATGACCCAGACCCAGGGGTACAGCTCCCTATGGCGGGGGCTGACACTTACCATGTGGCGCGACGTACCTTTCTCCGCCCTGTACTGGTGGGGGTATGAATCTGTGAAAACCATTCTCAGCGATATGCGGGTGAAAACAGTACCGGCAGCCTTCTTCATGCCAAATCATCAGCACCTCCACAGCGGTCAACGCGGCGCAAGCGCACACGCGCACCAGGACAACACCATGACATTCCTTGACAGCTTCGTCGCAGGCGCCACATCCGGCGCCCTTGCAGCTTTCATAACTACCCCTTTTGACGTCGGCAAGACCCGGCAGCAGGTATTTCTGCACTGTGGCGATGAGCCGGGCTCCAAGGCAGCACCGGCAGCATCAAAACTCACAACCGCCAGCTCCTCATTCACCACCTCCTCCTTCTCCAAGTTTACATCCTCGTCCGCATCCTCGTCGCCGTCATCGGCATCCTCGGCGTCTCATATCCACCCGGAACAATTATCCACGCCTCGCTTCCTTCTGCACATCTTCAAAGTGGAGGGTGTGTCCGGTCTTTTCCGCGGCTGGGCAGCACGGTGTCTCAAGGTTGCGCCGGCATGCGCCATTATGATTTCCAGCTATGAGGTTGGGAAGAAGATGGCGGGGAGGGTCAATGAGCACCATCACCTTCATCAGCTCCATCAGCAGCATCAGCAACAGCAGCAACATCGGCACCACAGTGGGACAGACGAGGACGGCGATCGAGTATGATAGGATTTTCTTTCTTTTGCTTTTTGAGTCTGATATGCATTATCCATGATATACCTTTTTTTTTATTCTCTGCCTCCTTTCTTTTCTTTTTTTCCTCTTTTGTTGATATACAAATCTAGGTTATTCATCTTCCCATTTTTTCTTTCTTTTCTTGGATGGGTACTGGGATCTCCTCTTTTGTTTTCATATTTGATTTTTACATTGTTGCAAGCGAAAAAAAAAAGTGGAACGGAGTTTGGTAGGGTCATACCTATTTTCCCCCCCCTTATTACATGTACATATGTATACGCATACAAAGTATAAATACAGATATAGTTAACTATGTAAAATACCTCCAGCAGAACCAAGCAGAATTGCTCTAGCATAACAAAGGCAGAAATGTTTTTTTTTCTTTCTTTTTCTTATTATCTTTAGTTTCCTTCCCTGTTAAAGCTCTCAATCCTATCTATAGCTATGGCTAGAAAAGAACCTCTCAATCTATTTACCTACCTACTTACTCCCCTTTAGCATTCTACTAGATAAAATTGATTGACCTTGTGCCCCCCTTTTTGTCATGAAAAAGAGGTTGGGGTTTTATTAGATCTTAGCTGGAATCGGCTCTCCAGGAAAGTTCTAGCGAGCCGCGACAATCATCCCATTTTTTATTATTATTATTATTATTATCCAACCTCCAGCTGCACATCAACGTGCTTGCGTACGAGTTGTTAGAAAATTGGAGGACGCAGTGTTTATATATAAATGTTGGCGAGAGGGAGTTCGATCTACGCAAAGCACATCCCATATGGTGTAGTGGCTAACATCAGCGTCTCTCACACGCTAGCCGGGGGTTCGATTCCCCCTATGGGAGGATTCATCATCATTTTTATTATTATTATTTTTTTTGGTTTCCTTTTTCCCAACTTTGAATGAATGAATGAATATATATAATGTGTTTCTTTTATTGTCTGTTAGATATTCAATATACATATATTTAATATAATAATGATTGATTGAATTTAAAATAACCATTCACCCAACCTACCTAACCTACCCTAATTCAGTCAGACAAGGTTGGTTGTGAAGTCCATTAGGGTACCAAATATCCCTGGACAGACGAGAGAGAGACACCTCAAAAGTTATAGTAATCCGGCGCGAATGTGGATATATATACGGATTACAATATCGAAGAATATTTAAATACCTTACGATCTACGAGAAAGAAAAGGGGGTAGAGTCGACTACTCGACTACTCCATACACCCACCGCTGAAACACCAAACAACAAGCCAACATAGGGAACTTGTTTAAAGTTTTTTTTTTTTTAAGTTATGAGGCAAAGCAAGGTAGCTAACTAACCACAGTGTATGGAGTACACACTTCCCCCTTCCCGCAGTTATGTCGTGCATACGCAGTACACGAGAGACGACGAAAGAATTGTTAGCTACAATAGACAATAGAGCAGTTACAAAAAAAAAGAAAAAGAAAAAGAAAAAGAAAAAGAAATCAGATTTTTTCATCCCTCCAAGCCGGTGGGTGGGGGTGTCGGGATTGCTTTTATCCTCTAGTTTATCCTCTAGTTTACATCCAGCGTAGGTACGGTACTAGGGGTACCTCCAAAAGCTGGAGAGAGCTGTCCAAAACGCAGCCGAGATTGAAGTGCAAAGTGCAGCGGAGTGTGGAGCTGGGCTCGGAGCTCGGAGCTCGGAGCTGGGAGCTGGCAGCTGGCGTTGGCCCGCCGCCGCCAGCGGGGGCGCGCGGGGGGGTTTGTATTAGTAATTCGGGCCCTCGGCTTGGGGCGGGTAATTAATTATCCTTCTCTTGTTTCTTTATCCGGGGGGAGCAGGACTTGGTAGCAAGTATCAACGGAGAAAGGAGAAGGTAGATGCGATAAATGGGATATTAATTAATTGAGCGGATATTTATTTATATATATATATTATTAAGTGTGGGGGAGAGAGAGAAGATAGAGAGAGAAGCAAGACAAGTGCATGTACTGCGTATGTACGCTGCGTAGCGTAGGGCAAAAGTGGGAGAGAGAGGGGTACTGCGTAGTTATTGGGTAGAGTAAGTTACGCTGTAGATATTCTAGTGAGCAGTTAGCATGCGGACTTACGGCTAAGAGAGATTACTGGGACAGGGGTATGTACCGCACAACATCTGCTTCCTGGGACGCTGGGTAGAGCCAGGCATAGTAGGTATGTATATGTATATATTTGAGAAGCTGTGCTGGGGGGAGTGAGAGGGAGAAACCATTTATCATATTATTATTTAGTCCAAATACAGTAAGTAGTTAGTGGAGTAGTGTTTAAAAGTAACTAGATAAGATGGCTGCCCGATAAGTTACCAAAGCTGTGGATAGAAAAATCACACGCAGCCCAACCCGAGAGGAGCATTATCTCTCTCTCTCTCTCTCTCTCTCTAGGTTCAACCAGAGGTTCTTCAGCGATATTTATTGTTGCCTAGGTAGATAGATACTACTGTATTTACATGTACATACATCGGTAAGTTAGCTATTCACACTATCGCATATCAACATTATTATTATTAACTCTAGTAACAAGTACAGTACGCAGTATGTAAATGTACATACAAAGGACCAGCCCAACCCCTCCTTCTACCCGGCCAAACCCCTCCCTTCACACAAGTTCCAGCAAGAAGAAATGCGACAATTCTCGTTGCCCGCCAGCTAAGTGATAGTTAACCAGCTAACCAGCTACCTAGGTATCGTATCTACCTAAGGTCACTAATAACGAATTAATTAGCTGATGGAGCTGAGCTAGCCCGCAGCTCCGCAGCACGATATCACCGAGTTATTTACCTACCTACCTTACCCCTCTCCCAGCTACAGTACTTACACCGTAGTAAGTAATTATTAAATAATAAATAATTAAGTAGTAAATAGAAGAAAGAGAAGTGTTTAAAAAAAAAAAAAAAAAAAAAAGGAAAAAACAAAGGAAAAAGGAAAACAAGCTAAGGGGGGGGAACCTTGGATGCTGCCACACCGTTACAGCCATCATCCCACATCCCTCCCATCCCATCCCATCCCCATCCCAGGCAGGGCTGGCTGTTCTAGCTTGGCATCATCCCCCAGCCTTGCCCCCCGGATGGTGGAAATGGTGGAAATGGTGGAATGCTGGATGCTGGATGTAACTATCCCCCCATTCCCGATTTAAAATAAATACGACCTTTTTATTTCAATAATAATAGTTACTGCTAGCTATTATTAAATAACCCTTCATTCCAGAAACGAAATAATCCCCAGTGTTGTGGCTGATGCTTGTACCTGTACATTACATACTATACTGTGCTCGATATGTAGCAGTAAGATTAAAAATAAAGTACTTAGTTAACTAATGGCAATGGCTGAGCTTTTGCTGGTCTCTTCTTCTTCTTCTTCGTCTTCTTCGTCTTCTTCTTGTCTTCCCGCAGCTCCACTCCCAACTCCCACCTAAGTTACAAGAAAGACTCTACACCATTTTCTGCTTGTCTCCAGCTCCGTCTAGCTTCTGCTCCATTTCTTCTTCTCCTTCTCCCCATCATTTCTTCATCTTCTCTTCATCTTCTTCATCTTCTTCATCATCTTCTTCTTCTTCTTCTTACTATCTCTCCATCATCGCCATCGCCATCATCATCATATCTAGCTATATATAGCTCTCTGCCCGGCCAATCCCACTGCCCTAACTGGCTGTGTTGCTCTCCTCCGATCTTACGTCGCAGCTTACTCCGTACTCTCCTTTATCTAACTTACTATTCTCCTCCTCCTCCTCCTCCTCCGATATTACGTGAATATACATGACAACTCTCCACTTCCATCTGTCTCTCCCTCTCCACCGCCACATTCCAATCCGTCCCAACCCAAAAGAAAACCTTATCGCCTGGCCCTGCTTCACACCCCACTCCACTCACTCCCAGAGCTCTCGTCTCGTCCCTCCTCATCCTCTTTTTTTTTTCTTTTTTTTCTTTTTTTTTATAACTAACTGAAACCTTGCTTTTCTTCTTCTCCGACCTTCCCTGTTCTGCAGCTTGAAGAAGAAAGTCTTGGTTTTTTTTTTTTTTTTTTTTTTTATTTTTTTACTTTTCATCTTTATCCTTTTTATTTTTTTTCTCGTTCCATCATCAGATCTGGCCCTCAATCCGCCTCATCTCTCTCCAACCTCTCCCGTCCGATTTCGTCATTCTAGCCCGTCCAGAAATAGCTACGTCCATACCATACCCATTCGCCAGCAGGGAGAGCATGCGCAGCAGCCTTTTCCCCCCAACAGCCCTCTTCTCGTTACCTTGTCGTCCCCAGCGCATCGCGATCATCCCCATCCCAATAGCCGCCGCCATCATTACCACTATTTCTTCTACTCCTACCGCCATCTAACTCGCTCGCACTTCAAGCAAGCAACCCCTCGATACAGCTTGCACTCAACTCAACAATCTTAAATACCTCCTCCCGACCTCGATCCATTTTCCTCCTCCTACTCCTCGATTGTCCGGACAATCTGTTTGTCGTCCTTTGATCTGGAGTCGGGCTGTGTGCAAACGGCGACAAGAAAAAAAAAAAGGGAAAAAGCGGGATAACAAAGAAACCTACGTAACTCCCATAGCTATCACCCGCTGCTTGACCGTTATCGAGTTAGGGTCCGTCCGATTTCTTTTTCTTAATTCTTTTCTTCCTCCCCTTGGTCAAACTTGAAATATATAGCCCTTGAACAACAACCCCGCCCTGCCCTTCCGCGCCACGAAAACTGGAGGACTAAAAAAAGGGTTACCTGCAGACCATGCCACCGCGAGCTTCTCTGACCAGCTCCTTTTCCGTCTCGGATACCAACAATGAAGTCGTTTGTCCCCTGACCAACAATGACGGCTCCAATTGTCGCAAACGATGTCTGGGCGTGAGTTGCTTCTCCCTCCCCCCCCCCCCCCCCACCTTTTTTTCCATACCTATTCTCCCAACCAACGCCCCCGCACTTACCAACCTCAAAAATGCGCATACACCGCCTCTGAATATATGGCACGATAAAGCTCTTATCTGAGCCTTTTTTTTTAAAAAAAAAAAGAAAGAAAGAAAGAAAGAAAGAAAGAAAGAAAAGAAAAAAGAACACGTCATAAAAAAACCATATCTATTCCGGTCGCAGCTCCAGATAAGAAACTATATTTATTTGACTCGCTCTGATTTATTTGTTGCTTCTTTTTGGGGCCATTGGTTGTTTTAGGAGAAACGATACCGCTCCATGCAGGAGCACATCCGCCGCGCCCATCCCAGCCACTACATCCCTAAGCTTCCGGCGACCGAAGAGAGCTTTCAGCTGATGGTTAATACCCCTCCGGAGCTGAGGCCGCATATCCCTGCTCCCAATACCTCCCATCCGCGGCGGGGTCCTGGTCCGTAATTACTTCCCACTCATTGTTTTATTTTGTTTTATTTTTAATATTTTGACACTCGAGTTGCTGAGAGATTCCTTGTGTTTTTGTTTTTGGGTTTCGTTTTTCCAGGCGATCCCGGCGATAGAGATATTTTTGGCGGGGCCGATCGAAGCTCTCCCTTGACCCCTCGTACCCTCGATGAAGCTCACCCTGCAGCTGCCACAGCTGCCGTCGCATTGGCACAGCTTCACCATCATCGATTGACTTCCGATTGGGATTCTGAACCGGTTCGTTT